GCATTCATGGCAGAGAGGCTGGAGCGCTGCTAAAAAAGAAATTAGGCTTTAACTAAGCTGCACCATTCAGCTGTTTAACTAAGCTGCGGCACCGTTCAGCTGTTTGAAATTCTGTCTTCTCAGGCCTTCTATTAATAAATGCATAATTGATTAGGGGCAGCATACGTGCTTGAAACACACTTCCTCCCCACACCAACACACATACAAGACAAGACCTCCCTCCTGTCCGGGAGCAGCACTTATCTTTCTGCGCGTCTTTGTGTTGCTCCACCTCTTGTCCTTGCGAAATTGCGGCTGTGTAAATATTTCTCTCCCCTGCTAAGTTTCTTTTTTGCTTTTCATTGGCTGCCCGCCCCCCTCGCCTCCCCCCCTCCCTGCCTCCCTCCCTGCTCTGACCCCCTCACTCTTCTTCTCTCGTTCTGTCGTCTGCCCTCAGGTAGAGTATATAATTCATATCTTCCCAGGGGAGTCATGAATGGACGCCCTCCACTCAAATGCTTATCAATAACCTTTGAGTGCACGCTCTCTTTGATTCCAAGCAGCATATCTGTTGGATACACGCTCGTAAATGGACACAGATACACTTGCGCATACGCTGGGGCTCTATCTTTGAGAGGACATTTTGAACCGGCCAAGTGATATTTTCTGATGCACCAAGGGATTTTTTTTTTTTTTTGTCCTTTGTCTTCTCACTATTTCATTGCACCTCTGTTTTGACAACCTGCCCTTTGCAGCGGAGGTTTTGGTGTCAGCGTCGACTATGATTAGTGGTTGTGCGCTTATGGATCTCCCAAAAAGGGCAACAAATAACTTATATTGATATTTTTGCTCGTCACCTCACAGCAAGAAGGTTTTCGGTTTGATGTTGCTCCGGCTTCCTCCCATCCCCAGAAAACAATCAAAACCAGATGGCGGGTGGATGAACTTTTCCAAGATTTTTTTTTTTTACACTTTAATATAAATCTTCACTATTATCAATAGTCGATGTATTAGTAACTGTCAACAGATGCCATAAACAGCACCCTAAACAATCGGTAGCTTCTCGGCACTTATTGGCTTGCGACGACGCTGAACTTTTTGGTTACATGGCCTTACAAGGTGTGTAACTGTTACACTTGCACAGTTCTCTTAATTTTTGTCCTGTTGAGTTTACAGCAGCAGGTTGTTTTAAAGTGGACATAAAACTTGGCGCTTGTAAAAAACGTTTTCGTAATGTAAAATAAAAATAGACTGAGACAAAGCGCCACTACGTTTTATCACAATGTTCAGTCTTCTTTTGAAAATGAGTCTATCCGCGTAGAACAGCTTGACTCGGCAATATTTGCCCAAATGTGCTGCAAAGCGGTGAGATGGCGAGGGCCTCTCCTGTACGCAGCCCTCAGCCCCCGTTTTTATTTATTTTTGCAGAAATATGAAATTGTTCTTCACCTCTCTGCCAGGCTTCTGTTTTGTGCCATATTCATGACCCTTTGGAGTGTTTACTGGCACCAGCACATCAGAGTATCCCCTTAAAACGCTGTGCCAAAGCCACCGCCCATGAAGAAATCTGTCATCTCCTGAGTAAACGCTTCTGAAACTTAGGCGTGATGCTTCAATTGAATTAGTCAACACAATTTGGTGCCAATAACATTTCAATGGATTTATGTTGTTTTGATGCCACTGGATCCAAACATGACATTGTTCTTTTCGCGAATATGCACATTTTGACATTGATATTCTCTTTATGCGACAACTTTCATACACACATACATACATACATATATAATTTTTTTTCATTGAACCCTAAAAGTTTTTGTCAAAACCGTAAAAGTTGGGTCAAAGCTGAATAACCCAATTTTTCTGCGCTCAATTTGACCCACGTGTGGGTCAGTCCTTTTTTAACACGGAAATTGGGTCAAATTTAACCCCAAATTAGTTCTTGAAGTGTTTTTAGAGCGTATAATCAAAGTACATTTTGTAAGCTGTCAAAACAGATTAATCCATCATTAATCATCATTAGATCCCATTATGAATCAAGTAACAGTCAAAAATATTGATCTCAAAAAGTTGAGCCAATTCAAAGAAACAAATGTCATTTTCAGACTCAGCTGCCCAAAATTGCTCAGAAACTATTAAAATATCTTTGGCACTTGAACAAAAAAAATTGTTGTACTCAGTGGTCTGGACCTTGACCGTTCGACCTCCAAGATTTTGTGCAACTTTTGAGCTATCGTTTTACTTAACGGATGCGTCATATGTCAAATTGTACAACCTTGGGCCCTTTGGAGACTCCACTGTCGTATCCATTCCACTGTGAGTGGAATTGACTCAAAATAAATTGCCATGCCCATATTCACTTTGCAGAAGATGTTTTGGACAGTTCAGAGAACATGTGGCACAGAGCCAGGCCACAGTGTGCTGAAATATGGCGTGTAAAGGCAAAGCAAAAGTCTGCTCATTCAACTCGACAAGGCTTTGGAGGTGCCGTTAATTCTTGACTAGTATCTCTCGGGGGCTTATTTATGGCTTTTGCACATCACCATCATCATCATCATCATCATAGCTGTCGTCATCTTCACCAAATGTAACTGATTTTCTTTCACGAGACGAGCGTAATTTACTCCTTAGTTCCTTGAGAAGACTCTCACAAAGCCTCCCCTCATGACCCAAAATACACTGTCGAGCAACGCCGCTATAAAAGAGAGTGAGAGACACCCATGCAATTGGACGTGATTGTTTCCAACCAAATGAACTCATAATGTATGATAATGGAGCTCCTCTGGAACCAAATCTGTATCGGTGTGGGCCTCCGAGTTTTATGTGTGCTGCTCCATTTGGAATTCAAAGTGAAGTATTCTGCCATTCTCTTATGTGCATTTCATGTTTGACTTGGTACCGTGTTTATAAAATTAGCAACCTCGCCATACAATACAGTACGTCACAATAAACATCAGCCCCTAAATGAAAAGTAAAATGGTGGACATTGTAGGGCGCACTATAATATGTTGTGTGTGTGTGTGTGTGTGTGTGTGTATGAGTGTCTGTTTTACAGTATGATTATGAACCCAAAGACTATCCTCCTCAAACATATTTTTTTTCCCTCATTGATTTTAGCTAACATTTTGCACTTTGTCTTTCTCATTAAAAAAAATAATAAATCACAGGATTATAATGGATTGACTCCTTTTAGCAAAATCAGCTTCTTATGTCCTTCACATGCCTGAACAAATGATTATGCTAAATCGCATGCTTAAGATTGCTCAATGCAATTAAAAGTAGTATTCAGAAAGAGTCGGCTTTTTTTTTTTTTTCAAACGGTGACCTGTAATGTTTTTACTTTTCTTGAATGGATCAAAAGCCAATTTGTTTTAAATGAGTTTCAAGGCAATCTGCTTATTGCGGATTGGTGTTCTCCTTCTTGAATAGAACTCCTGGCAATTCCTCCTAGATTATAAAAAGATGCACAGGTGGGGAGGGATGGGCACTTTTCATTATTAGTTTAATTTATTTTGAGCATGGAACGAGATAAATAAATACTGTACCAAAAAAAAAGCATAAGAAAGATACTGAAGAAAAAAACAGAACAAAAAAATAAAAATAAATAAATGAAGTGACAAAGAAAAAAGGTCCATCGTCTTTTTTTTTTTTAAACTATGCACCACAATGAATGCACCCGAAATTGTCTATAGGTGTGAAGGCTCACCTGTGACTAATGAGGACAAAAAATGGTTGGTTCTATGTTGACGTCATTTTGTAGCAGTCAGAGGAACATGCAGGAACATCGCTAAAAACAAAAATGACATGCTGTGAAACGCACGCAACCGTTGGATCGAACATCTGCAAGAATGTCGTGGGTTCGTCTTCTCTTGGAACTCGTTGCTTTACCCTCATCCTGCTCTCCCCTCGCTACAGGTGAGCCGGGCCAGTTGAAAATCTACCTTCCGAAGAAGCTTCTCGAGTGTCTGCCCAAATGTTCCTCTCTGCCCAAGGAGCGCCATCGTTGGAACACTAACGAGGTGAGAATGTGACACACTCGTGAGGGAAATATGCGTGACAGTGAGATGAACTCAGCGTTGTGCCTGGTGACTCATTTCTATCTGAAGTCACCATGAGGGCTGGATGAAGAGGAGGTAAACAAACACGAGGGTAGTTTTTTTTTCCCATTATATAAACTTAAAACTGTGACACGAGGAAAGAAAATAAACATACAAAGCCAAGCTCAGCGGTAAAATGGGACAGATTTTGGCGCCCGATGTTTGCTTTGTTGCCCCGATGGGGTTGGCAGTTGCTGTCCAGAGGACACAAAGCCTTTTGTGTCGGACTCTTAATTCCACGCGCTCGGCTCGGCACGGCTCTACTCACCGTTGATGCTTTTCCACTGACAAAACCGAGTACTAATTTGCGCACAGCAGTCATGACCAAAATATTTTATGCTCTCTTCAGTGGGATGTGAAGAATAACTTCTATGCATATACATTGTGCAATATATTTTTATTCAGTCATTTAAGTAAGGGTGGGTTTTTTTCTTCATATATTCAAGTGCACAGTTAAAGTCAAAACTCTGTAAAATGTTACCATGCTATACTATCCCATAAAATTAAATATACCTTTTAGGTATAAAACCCCCGGATTCATTTTTTATGAACACTTTAGCCTACTATTTTTTTTTTTTTTTGGTCTGTTTGGTTGGCAATTGGCTGATGAGCAGTCCAGGGTGTACGCCGCCCCTCACCCAAAGTCATTTGGGCTCGGCTCCAGCTCATCTGCGACCCTAATGAGGACAAGCGCTATAGAAAATGGACGGATGGCTGCTAATGTTGACTTACTCTGTCACCGTGCCAGCCGTTGTACTCCACAGTCTCCACTTTGCTGCAGTGGTCAGTTTCCTTGCTGCTCTCCGCCTTCCCTTGAATTATTTCTGTCTCCTCAGCTACATGTCGTGAAGTAAACACAGAATACCCTCAATGTCTTTTGTTTACGGCGCCGTCTCTCGTTCTGACTCCAACCGGCCCAAACCGAGACGAGTCGAGCTGAGCCAAGCTGCGCAGTGCCAATTTTCAGCCATGGCTTTTTTTTTTTTAAATCCCGCAGATGGAATGAACCATGGGTCAGTCGAAAAAGGGAAAAAAAAATATCTCGGCATTGTTGCTAGGCGACCATAGACGCTGTTAAATGCATGCTATTTTGGGCTTGTTTTTTTCTGCCTTGTGTGTAAATGGTGGCTTAGATGCTGTGTGTAATTTTGCCGACAAAACAAAAGGAAGACTGAACAATGAAAAGCTCTATGTGATGAGTAAACAACAAAAGCAGTGACCATGCACCTTGAGAATTTGATCATGAGTTATTTTTTTTCACACCTCATTAGTCAGCTACAAACGTGTGAATTCTTCGTGAGTAAAGAGGACAGGAGCTCCCCCCAGATTGGATTCCAGTGAAGGATGTAGATACTAATATACGTTTGTTAACTGTTGGACTAAAGTTTCAGCCTGCCGACCAAAGTAAATGTCATGGTTTTCCCCATTAAGGCAAAAAGTTATCAACATTATGTAATGCAGATTTTCGTCTAGATGGCTGCTGAATAGTAATAAAGGTTTCATTTTATTTACATTTTATTTACATTTTTTTACAGACTATGCATTGTGAAATGACGTAATTGTCTGAGGTACAGCAACATCAATCCAAAAAAAAAAAAAAAACTAGGAATGGGCATTTGACTGCATTTATCTGATCAACTATGATGATCAATTGATGGATTATTTGTTCTTTTAAAAGTGTAACCCTTTTGACATCACTTCTGCATTCGTTAATCCTTAAATGCTGCTGCCGCGATGTTTGTTTGAACAACACAAACTAGTCGAGACTGAATCAACAACCTCTCTGCTGGTTGAAGCCGAATTGAGCATTTTATTTTCCCCAATTGCTTCCAAAAGTCATGAATCGACATTCTCAACGATCAGTTACTCAACCATCAATGACTTTGATCACTCCTTGTCAAATACAGAAAGGAAGGATAACAAGTCGGGCAAAAGTCTGGGTAAAAACAAATCTGGTATGCAGGCTTAATGGGTTGTCCAATTATAGAACATGAGGTGATTTTCTACCAGAGAGTCCAACTTTTTCTTTTTTTTTTTTTTTTTGCTTCCTGTGCCACTTCCTTTATGCAACTTTCACTAGAATGACTGGGGTGCCTCTCAGATGCTAATTCCAGTTCTCATTATGCATCCGTGGATTCTATCAGCATTTGAAATTTACACCAGGGGGCAATAATATACTCGACTTAATATACACAAATATCAAGAACGCCTACAGAGCCATTTCCCTACCCCACACGGGCAACCCTGACCACCTATACTGTTCTCCTAATAATAAAAGTTTGCTTCAAACTTTTGCTCTTTTAATAATGGCCGTATGCTTGTTCCAGCCTGACGTAACCTTAACCCTTTCATGCACCCTGTAACCCGATAACGTGATAAGCCGTAGTAACCGCTGTCCCTCAAAGGGTTAAACAGGACATTACCAATCATGATCTTCGCACCTTTGCGTTTTGCGACAGAATATAGCCATTAGCTAAGAAAAGAGTCTCAGGGATAAAAAAACGGATATCGTGTATTGCACCGCGCGACACTTGGCGGTTTGCGACAGCCGCGGCGATGCGGTTGGCCTCTGTCGGGACATTTTCTTCATGTGCAGGCTGAGCACTCCATTATGGATGAGCGTTTGTGTGTTTGTGTTATTGATTACCGAGTCCAGCATTATTATGCAATGCAAAGCTGATTTAGCTTGTGGTTTTTCTCTGAGGAAAGTCATTACATTTCTCATGCAATCCATCTCAATGAAGGTCATACTGCGAGTTAAGCAACAACGCGGAATGAGCAGTGGGCTCACGTGAACAATTTGTGTGTGTGTGTGGGTGTGAGTGTGTGGGTGTGGGCGTGCATGTGGGTGTGTATTTGAGCAACCACATGAGTGTTACCGGTAAGGTTAAAGCAGCGGCAACCAGAGCAACCTCTCCCATGTGTAAACCCGACTCACCATTGAGTCCTCTCCGTTAGAGCCTGACATTTTTGGGAATGCTCGTGGGACAGAAGCCAATTACAAAATTCATCATGTGACTGGGCCACGTCAGGAGAAATGTCAGCAGGAAGGAGGCAGCTTTGGAATCATAACAATGGGGGCAGTTTTTATTTAAATGCAAATGATATTCATAAAAAGTATTTGCAATGTCAGGCATTGCAGGGTATTTTTTTTTTTTTTTTTTTTTTTTTAAACCGGCATCCAGTTATGTTTCTGCTCCGGTAACTGGTTGCAAGCAGCCACCAGGGCAGCGTATGACGTATTTGGATAGATGACACATGGTGCAGTGCCAACACGGTGGCCATATGGTGGCAATAAAAAGCTGTGCCGCACAACACAAAGTCATCGAAGACGAGACTGGTGATAACATCACATCAAAACAATTGCGGTGCCTGAAGGCGGTGGAATTATTCTGTCATGGGATTGGAATGAGACAGGTGTATCTTTGAGGAAGTCGGTTGTGTACAGCAGAGAATTTACACTCCTGCGTCACCCTCTGCTCTATCAACATCTCTCATTGCCTCTCCTTCCTCTCTCTCTCTCTCTCTCTCTCTCTCTCTCTCTCTCTCTCTCTCTCTCTCTCTCTCTCTCACTCGCTCTGCTGAGAAGGCACGGGCTCAGTTCAGGGGGAGGTTTGGTGTCCCTCAGTGAATTCCTTCAAAGCTTCTCTTCCAACCAGGCAAAGTTTGCTGCATATTTAAAGACAGCATTGTGTCTTCTGCTTCTCCTGCTTAGTGCTTTCACCGGGCTAGCTGTGTGAGCTACGATTGCTCCTGATGTACTGTTGTGCATGTATCGGCGCGTTCGCCTCAACTGTGCACAGCTCCGGGTGATTGAGCCGGATTATCTTGTTGCCAGTGTAACAAAAAGCAGATTTTCTTCACTGTTTTTGTTGAAAATCGTTGCGCGCAACATATGGAAATCGAGTAAGGGTTGCATCATCTCCAACATTCGGCACTCCGGTATAGTCTGAGCATTAGATTGCAAAGGAGTGCCAATTAGACTCTAATCATATCCAATAAAAGAACTTAATCTAATATTCTGCCTTAATAATGATAATAGTGTTTCGTTTTGATTGACGCAGTCAGCCAGAGAGGTATTAATTAATTCATACGTACTTATTGGTTGCAGCCAGTGTCAATCAAAATGTCTTGTTTTTCTCTTTGTAAAAACATCATATTGGTATCCGATTTTACAGTATGTACTGTAATTGATGGTGTCGTGGTACACTGACTTGTGGGTTCAGTCCCCACTCAGTGATGGGGTGAACGGCAGTGGGAATGCTCTCTCGGTGTGCCTTTTGATTGACTGGCTCGGGGCTATCACTCCACTGTGGAGTTTACTTTTCGCCCTGCAGTCAACTGGGATAGTTTGCAGCTCACCGTCCAAGATAGACGGTGCTGGGAATGGATGGGTCCATAGATTTCATACGAGAGAATCATGGTGGGTCTAGTGGTTATCGCATCTGCCTCACAGTTGACAAGTCTCAAGTTCAAATCTTTACTCGGGCTCCTACCAGATGCATGTTGGGTTCAGACTCTAGCCGTAACTAATGATTTTCTCATTGAGTCAAAAATACATTGAAGGACATTGGTTAAGCCACATCCGATAAAATTTAAATATTCTAAAAAAAACAAATGTCCCTTTCATGTAAAAAAAAAAAAAGATAAAATCTAATTTTCATTTTGATATTAAAATAGACACTTAAATAATCAAAATGTAAATAAAATACAAATCCGAAGCAAATACATCAGCAGGGGGTCAAAAGAACCACAAGGAAGAAGGAGAAAAGCATATCTCCGATTATTCAGGATCTTGACACCTCAAGTGTGTGCCCTTGCCTTTTTTCACTGTCCACGAACGTGCCATTTTTGTACAATCTCTTCTCTTGTCACTAGCAAAGTGTCACTACGTGAATTTCTCCAAAAACCCAAATTTAAAA